AAAAGCGTGTGTGGGTAAAGGGGAAAACTAAAAACAACACAAACATAAAGCGAGACATAGGAGATGCATTGAGGTGAGAGGTAGCACACAGGAAACTAAGACCCCTCTTACAAGAAAGACAACATAAGCACGTCTACAAAAAGAACAGCATCTACACCACAAGGACACAGTTTCTTTACATCAAATTATTTTTGTTTCACCCAATTCAGACCAAGGTTTGTACGTGACTGCAGAAGAATCCTGATTGTGCAACTGCAGCTTTTTCCAAACCTGTCATAACTTGTAATAGGAAACACCAAATGATAAGGTACGACAGAACGTTAGGTACAAAAACACTATATAAGCACAGTGAGAGATAATAATCTGCCTCAGTTTTTACAGCCAATAAGAGCTGTGTTCACAAAACCAGAGGATATGACATTTTTACTTCAAAGCGACATTGAGGCCTAGCATCAGGTTTGATCACACACACAGGTGTTGTTGACCAACGTTTATTCATAAAAATGTTATTCTTTTTTTTTTTTTCAGCTGTTGCAAAATATACTGTTTTCTGTAACATGTAAGAGTGGAAACTTTAACCTTCACTAGGCGCCTTTTCAGGTGTTGGTGGGTGGGGGAAAAAGGTTTTGATTCAACTTCCTTTTGATAAATCTTTTCATACTAGTCATATAATGTCATAATCTCCTGTATTTCTTGTTCACATTTATGGTTTTCACGTTAGAGCGTGGAACACAATAGGCTTATAAAACAGTAGCAGGATGTGATTATGGCCTTATAGTCTCTATACGTCTATATGGTCTAGGCCTCTTTACAATTACAAAGAAAAAATGGTTATGTTAAATGAAACATAGATAATCCCGTATTGTGCATCACTTAATTGATTCTTTTTGATAGGGAGCTTTGACAAACATTGAGTTTATCCACACATTCTTTTTGAGAAAAAGTTTGGGTTTTGTTGTGATGCAAACTATTTATTGGAGATTGCTTTGAGGGAAATAAGGCTAGGTTAGAAACCATATTTTCCAACACAAAATAACTGTAAAATCATCAATAACCTCAAAAAGATTCAGTAAGCCTAAAGTATCCTATCTTTATCTTCAAAGAGCTGTGTCAACCTTTTAAAAAATAAACGCTTGCTCCGTCTCTCGTCCATGCAAAACACCCACCTTCATCTGATTTCTGAGAACTGAGATGACTCAATTGACTTTTTGTTCGACTGACTTCCCTTGAGAACCTGCATCTTCAAACGAGACACAGTGCCTTTAAAAAAACACATTCTTTCTCTTACAAACATATGTTTTTCACAGCCTTTTTTGGTTCAGTATAGGACAAGCTTATGTTGGCCAATGTTAGACAACTTGAGCTAGATATTTCTGTATAGTTGACATTACAGAATCAGTTTAGGGACTTTAAAAACTTTTTTATATATGTATTTATCAACAGCACAACAACCACAGGATCGTTGAATATTTCGCTTCTTCTTTTTCAATGTCTAATCTGGTCTGATTTGGCCTCTTCAGGTTCTTCTGGGTAAAACTGGTCCACCTGCAGCTGCCAGCTGTGTTGATGTGTTATTTCAGTAACAACACTGTGTGACTCATTAGCTAGTTCTGTTTTCTCAGTTAAAGAACACTGACAAACATGCCCTAAAATAACCGATATTTATTTTAGGGGAATTTGAAGGGTACCTTATGTAAAAAAATTGACAATCCAAGAACTGTCTTCATGTGTTTTTGCCTCTTCAATTATGTAATAGGTGTTTATGTAAACGTTTTAAAATGCTTGCCAATCATCTGTCTATGCCCACTGATGAGACCCCATATTGATGGCATTAAAGATGTGATGCTCGAGGTACAAACCTGAGCATGCTTTTAATGAACATTAATTATTTTATTTTATTTATTTTACTGAATAAATAATTCAGCCATCACTGCTGGTTATTCCAGATAATACCTGTGTTAATGCTGTGTTGAGCTGTTGAACAGACCAGAGATCAGTGTTAAGAAGGGAAAAAAGCAGGCAGCAGCCACCAGAGGTCTCTGCAGCTCAGACCTGCAGCTCTCTGAGGCAGGATGTGGATTCAGGTCTAATGAACATGAAGCAGGTTACCGGTTTCATCAGACTTGATTCTCATGCATCAAAGTTAAGTATAGAAGTAACAACTGCGATGGCTGGGAAACCCAGGTCAACTGCTTGGAAGGCAGCTATGCTCACCACTATATCACCATCGCTAGCAGGTTACCACAGGGTGACATGTGGAATTCAAAAACGTTAAAGGCTGTGGGCACAGCTGACTATTTGAATAGATGTGGGCTAACTCTCTAAGTTTTATCAGAGCCGTGGCTCAATGACTGTACTCGTGCTCTCAGACGCGCTTGCAGGCGTGCAGAGAGAAAATGGAAAAAGGATAAACTCCATGTCTCCCTAGAAATCCTTCGTGCTTGCCTTTCTGACTACCAGACGGCAGTCAAAGCAGCCAAAACAGAGCACATTTCTCTGTTAATCTCCAAAAACAGCCATAAACCTCAGGTTCTTTTTAATGTCCTCAACTCTATCATTAATCCCTGTGATGTTTCTTCTATTGTCCCATCGACTACTCTCTGTGATAAGTTTCTTTCATTTTTTATTGAAAAAGTATCTGCTCTTAGGCTAGCCCACACTAGTGATACCCCAGATCCTGCTCCTTTTCTGTGCCCTACTGTCCTCGACCACTTTGAGCCTGTATCCCTCTCTTCTCTCTCGGATGTAGTCAAGCACCTGCGGCCGACAAACTGCACCTCAGACAGCATTCCCTCTCGCCTTCTCAGAGATGTTTTTGATTCAGTTGGAGCAAGTATTTTATTACTTTTAAACACCTCTCTTAGCTCAGGATGTGTCCCAGCTGCCTTCAAACATGCCGTGATTAAGCCACTACTTAAAAAGAAAAATCTCGACCCCTCCATTCTCGCAAATTTTAGGCCCATCTCCCAGCTACCTTTTTTATCAAAAGCCCTGGAGCGAGTAGTCTACGCCCAGCTGCAGTCTTTTTTAACCATCCATGGAATCCATGAAAAGTTTCAGTCTGGCTTCAAACCCATGCACAGCACTGAAACAGCCCTTTTAAGAGTTTTTAATGATCTGCTCCTAGCCGCCGACTCAGGTAGCCCAGCTGTCCTGGTGCTGTTAGACCTGACAGCTGCCTTTGACACTGTGGACCATAGCATCCTGCTGTCACGGCTTGAACAGTCCGCTGGCATCACAGGCTCTGCCCTTGCATGGTTCAGGTCCTACCTGACAGACCGTAGCTTCTCGGTACAGCTAGGTGCCTTCTCCTCTGCCAAAGCCCCTCTTACCTGTGGGATTCCCCAAGGCTCGATTCTGGGCCCCATCCTTTTTCTACTGTACATACTGCCCCTAGGTTCAATTCTCACAAAACACAATATTCCCTTCCACTGCTATGCCGACGATGTACAGATCTATCTGCCTCTCAAAGCAAATGTCAAACACTCACTACAGCAGTTGATGGACTGCTTAACAGAGATAAAATCCTGGCTGAGCAAAAACTTTCTCAACCTCAACGAGAGCAAGACTGAGGTCATCTTTTTTGGACCCCAACCTCCAGCCTCTCCGGTTGATATTCTGGGCTCTCTCAAAAAAAACATCCTCCCCTCGGTCATGAACCTTGGAGTGACCTTCACTAGCACTTTTAAATTCGACAAGCAGGTCAGCACCGTAGTCAAATCCTGCTTTTTTTAAATAAGACTATTGGCCAAAACCAAGTCGTATTTATCTTTTAAAGACTTAGAAAGGGTTATTAACGCCTTTGTAACCTTGAGACTGGACTATTGCAACGCTCTGTATGTGGGTATGGACCAGGCCTCAATTAAACGCCTGCAGCTAGTCCAAAACGCAGCTGCACGTTTGCTGACTGGCCACAAAAAGCGTGACCACATCACCCCTATTCTGGCCTCACTACACTGGCTTCCAGTTCGGTTCAGAATTGATTTTAAAATCCTTTTATTTGTTTTTAAAGCACTAAATGGGCTGGCTCCGGCCTATATAGCTGAACTCCTCCAGCGTTACACCCCAGCCAGAGCTTTAAGGTCTGCTGACCAGCTGCTGCTGGTAGTGCCCAAGACCAGGCTTAAAACCCGAGGGCACCGAGCCTTCGCAGCAGCTGGCCCTAGGCTCTGGAACACTCTGCCCCTCCATGTGAGGTCGGCCCAGACCCTAGGGGTTTTTAAATCTACACTAAAAACACACTTCTTCTCTCTGGCCTTCTAGTTAGAGCGGAGCACGACTCCTGACTTTTCCTTGTGTTTTTATTTTTATTTTGTTTTTTATATATATCTGTTGTAATTTATTGTCGTTTATTGTGATTGTAGTAATGTGTTTTTATTACATGTACAGCACTTTGGCTCGACCAAAAATCGCTTTTAAATGTGCTATATAAATAAAACCTGATTTGATTTAACTCAACACGTGACCCCACCCAACCACAACGTTTATACTAGAAACAAGACACACACACACACACACACACACACACACACACACACACACACACACACACACACACACACACACACACACACACACACACAGCTTTATCTCTGATTCCAGCTCCTTTACACACCATAAGCACAACTAAGGAAGAGTTGTATTTTATTAAGCTTTCTATTTTCTTCTATTTCATTTATTTCTAAGGGTGATTGTAACGTTTTATAAGTTGTGGGATGACAGTTATTCATTCACATTCGTGGATGCCTCATTTAAAAGTTGTGCAACAGATCAGATCTGCTTAATTTCAGGATTACTGAGCAGTCCGATGTACGTGTTGCTTCAAAAAGTGCTCCTCAAACCCCAAAGCCCCAATCAAATACTGTTTAAATGCCTTTATTCCACCTCTAAGCCCTGATACGTGAAAGCCCCCTCGGTTACAGTGGAACCACTCCCCCCCCCCCCCCCCCCCCCCCCCCCCCCCCCCCCCCCTACTGGGCGTGCGTCAGGAGCGCAGGTGTGATTGTATCCATTCCCAACAGACTGTCTCCCAAAGTGGTTCGCGGTCGGAATTAGAACGGGATTAAGTTCAGGAAATTCAATAAGAAGTGAATTTACCTGTGCGCACAGGTGCGTAGTAGAGAGACAGAGAGAGAGAGAGAGACAGAGAGGAAGGGAGGGCACAAATAGCAACAACCGGGAAAAGTTACGGATGCAAACTTCCCATTGACACATACAGTGAGAAACCGGAGCGACTCATCAACTGTTAATCTGCGAATACAAGAGGAAACACCAACAACCATGAAGAAATACTCGTATCCAGGTAAGGGTGATGCTCTAACATAACATGTGGTGCGTTTTCTTTATACGATATCAGCCTATTTAAAGGCTATAGTTGGTGTGTGAGTGCATGCGGCTGTCAGAGGGTTAAAGACACAGAGGGACACAACTAGGATTGACGTAATACAAGTAATTGTTTAGCAGCATGTTGTTGTTTTTTTATCACTGGTGCTTCACATATGTGAACATTTTTAATCACTGTTCGGGCAAAGAGAAGGCCCTCACATGGATTTGTGGGTGTGGTTTGTAAAACATGTATTCTCCAAAGGCCAGAAGTCTTATTCTAGCCCTAAACACATTACATCACATGTGTCAAACTCAAGGCCCGGGGGCCAAATCAGGCCCTTGGTGGATTTAATTTCGGCCCGCAGGATAATTTTGAATTACTATTAGATCTGGCCCGCCGGTATATTGCACGCACACCTTCACTCAATCCTGAGGGTTTCCTCCGCTCAGAGCCTGACCCCAAACATTGATGAACTTGCACCCGAGATGAGATGCCAAGTATCTGGCTTGAACTAGCATCACCGAGCATCAAACTGAGTTTAAATGGATGTTTCCTTCTGCACTTTTTTTTCTTGCGACAACAGGGCATGTTTGGTTTTTTTTTTCAGGGAAATTGTTTTTTTGAAGCTGTTGGCCTGTGGAAAAATGTAATCATAAGAAATGACTCCGGAAAAGCTGCAGATAGAGCCATAAGAAATTAATGCAACTGATTATTTAATGTTTAATGTTGTTTTTATAGGCAATAATTTAAGCTGTGTTAGTTCCAGGTTTAATATGTGCAATAAATTCATTTCAATACGTTTTGCAATAAACATTGAACCAGTCCGGCCCTCGACTAGTACCCATGTTTTTATTTTGGCCCACTGTGTATTTGAGTTTGACACCCCTGCGATTACATCATGACACAAAGGTGATCTCACTCAACATTTGCATAAAGACATTTTTTGATAAGCCCTCCCTGAGTAACATAACAGATCAGCTGGGGACACTACATTTGACTAAAACATGCACACAGGTTGTGCAGGATTTATTTATTGGTGGATGGAAAAAAAAGGTAACCGCCATACTGTTTTGATCTTGAGACAGTCTGATTGACAGTTTCACTGTGCAGTTCATTCACTCCTCCCCACTAACACCCGAGGAATGACTTGATTTATACATCTGCAACAAATCTACACAAGCCTGTTTATGAACATTATTCTGGGACTGCCTGGATGTGATTGCGGTTAATGAGAAATTGCGTTTTATAGGGTGTGAGGTTATCTTAACTGGGGCTTTAAATAGCTTTTGCAGGTTTTCAAATAATATGTCTTGAAGATTAGGACTGGGCAGGTAAATTATTTAGCTGTCAAAGACCGTTTAGCAGAGAAATGTTTGCTACTTTGCAACAGTCCACCACTAAAATATGCATCCTGACTACTTGTAACATTCCTCTATCTCTTCCATCTCTTATCCTCAAACTCTTGATTTCTCCCACTCATTCTCTCCAGATAATCCGCTAATTGTTTTCTAGATTAATCAATTATTTGTATGGTCTATAAATGTAAGTAAATAGTAATAAATGTCCATTCCAGCTTCTTAAAGTCCAAGGTGTCTTGTTTTGTCAGTTGAAAAACCCAAGATATTCAGAGTAATATGTTATAGAACACAAAAGGCAGGAAATCCCTATATTTCAGAGGATCAAAATAGATATTGCATAAATAATAACTATAACGATTATTGGATTATGAAGTGGTTGGTAATTTCATCCTTACAATTATTCTATCAGTCGATTAATCGCTGCAGCCTTACTCCTCAGCACTGTTTACTATCACTTCCATCCTCTTCTGAGCCTCCTTTGCCCTTCCCCCCCCCCTCTTTCTCCCCCCTATAAGCTTCGGCTCAGTCCAGTGTACACAACACTATCCCCCGGAATGCCGGCTTTCCCGGCTCCTCTTCCCGAGTCTTTGTGTGATGGAGCGTCCGACGGTTTTCCATCTGAGCCAAGTGCATGTTGGGTCATGCCGCCTCTCCTCCACCTCCTCTGTGTGTGTGTGTGTTCTCCCTGCCGTGCGACGTGTGTGGAGCTGTCACATTCTTTGTCAGAGCTCTACTCGGAAAATTGTCTAATAACAAAGTGTGTGTGTAGGCTGATTTGTGTGTGTGTGTGTGTGTGTTGTGAAAGGCCCTCCTCTCTAACATGTAGGGGTGTTTAGACAAGCATCAGAGATGTGGATGGTTGACTGAGGGAGGAAGGTCGGCCTGTATGTCAGCGTGTGTGTGTGTGTGTGTGTGTTTTGTACTCAAATACCCCCACAAACTCGAGCAGAAAGATTGAGTATCTGGCCCAGTGAAAAAAGGTCAGTTTTAGACCTTATGCATAGAAATGTGAGTCATCATGTCATCTTTTGAGGGGGGGTTGTATACATGTGTCTGTGTTCACTCATGCAGTCGCTGCCAGTGGAGCCAATCCCCGCCTTGCACACCACTCCTTCACGTCGTCTGGATCAATGAGTAACCTGTTTGAATAACAGCCCACTCAAACACACACTCGGAGTCATTATTTTTCCAAGTACACTCCTCCCGGTATGTGCTTTTATGTCCTACTCAAAAGCACACACATACACACCTGATTCCACTATTTTACCTGTGTGACAAACGCCTCACTCCACGCTGCATTACGGTTTTAGTGTGTTTATACTGGAGAGTCAGCGAGGCTTTGATTCAGAGCCTACAGCTATTGTTGGATGGTGACTTGAAAGTCAAGCTATAAACTCTGTTGAGACATATTTGCCCTGTCATCTAGCAGAGCATGCCGAAGATGGTCTAACCATCAATTTGACTTCCTAGAAGCCTGTGAATAATAGACTAATAAGGTATTGGAGCACGTGGACACGAACATACAGTATACTCTGGGTGGTATTACCTGAAATAGTGGTGTCATGGAGCTACAGGTGCGACACAACTTTCAAAACCGGACACATTCGCTGACTGGTTGCTAACCTAAGACTCGAATGAATGAATGAATGAATGAATGATAATGAAAACACCAATATGTAGATTGACCTACCTGTAATTTTTATAATCACCATTTGCTAAACCCAGCTGTCGCTTAGCAAAGACACAGTACATTTATCAAGCTAAAGATTGTATCACATGGTGAAACATTGTGCATAGGGCTGAATCAATGGCAATGCTCTGTATGTAAAGAAATCGGATCTTTTTTTAGCTCACCTCTGTCTTCCTTGTACAAGTCAAGTATAGCTTTGCAGCTAAACAGAGCTACGTTAGCTTGAAGTAATATGTTCATTTTTAACATAATTTTTTTTCTCATGACTTGCTCTTGTGCTGCAGACATTTTTCACTTAACAATTGTGGCATCTGTTAAGTGCTGAAAGCCTAGGCAAAAATTATCTAAAGTTGTTTTATCTACATATAAAAAAAACGACACTTGGGGCAATGGGCAAGAAATAGAACACCGTGTAACAGAAAGTGTACTTCCAAATCTAGGAATAAATAAGACTTAAGTGCAGTACAAGAACAATGCTGCTCCTGTATCTTCTAGTCCTCTACATGGATAAGTGTTGGTGCTTTGGCTGGGAAATGCAAATTCAGCATCAGTCTTTTAGCACAATATCTTGTATTTAGCCATCCAGTTTTACATGGTTCACACATTTCTACATTTCAAATGGTAGCTTAATAAGCCAGCTAACTACAGTAGTTCAGATTCGTTTTGTAACTGTCTGTTAGTATTGGTTACTTAGCGTTACTGTAAGTCTTGGTTGCAAAGTGGTACTGTAAGTATTGGTTGCTAAGCAGCTGTGATTGACAGACCATCTATTTCTGAGTAAGGGGCAGTTAAATTAAGACTTCACTCTCCCCGCTCCTTACTGTCATGAGATATGCAAACTGCTCAGAGCTGCACATTTGTTGTCAATAGTTGTGTCTTCATTGCAATGAACACAGTTAAAAAACAAAACAATAAATGTGTCCAGAATTACCACACATTTTTGGTGTTAACTTTGCCTTTTTTTGTACAGTTTATTAGAAAAACATATAAAATGACAGGTGTTGCGATGCTCGCAAACAGAAGTAGGCGTGATTCAGTGTTGACTGCCATTAGTCTAACAGTTATTTCTTTATAGATAGATAGTAAAGAAAAAACGGTGTTTGTGCACAGAGCTCAAATGCATGTAACTCATTCATAACTTCTGCTTTTGCCACACTATACTCCACATACAGTGTTATTGATACACTCAGGAATGTGGACTTCCCCTGATTGCAGAGTCCTGTGTCTGCTGTGCGTGGTCCTCCCCTCTCAGCCGTGTGGAGCCGGCTCTGAAGTGTCCACTCCGCTCTGTGTTTATTATCTGCAGCCAAGAATGCAGCCTGTGATGCTGCTGCTGCTGGGGGGGGGGTGTCAACTGATACAACAGACTGCCTGTACTGTAGGCCCGGGGCCAGGAGAGAGCCCGTAAAAAGATAATGGCAGGCTCACAGAGGTTCTGATGTGTACTGGAACATGTGTGGTACAGTAATAAAGTGCATGGACAGGCTACATTTTATTTAAAGCAGCTGTGTTAATTAGAAACTCATAACTTGAAAGTGATCTTAAATCCAAGTCATACGACGATACGATACAATAATACTTTAATGGCCAGATCAAGTCTGAAATTTGACTTGCATCACAGCAGCTCCATGTGTAACATCAACATAGACAAATATCAAGACACACTACATGAAAAACAAACAACATAACAGCACAATCACTGAGAGAAAACATGCTCAAAGACCCTTTAGGATTCAGCTCTGTATTTACTGTGAGGATTGACCGGTGCACAAAGGAGTGCTTCAGTCTGACTTTATTGAATCGCGGGACCCTGTATCTCCGATTAAGTCATCTGATCAATATAACATTTTGATAAGACGGATTATACCACTAAAGGAAAAAGTCTGTACTTGTGGAGGTTGCTTCACCTGCAGGCCACAGATCCCACA